CAACCTTACTTTAAATTAAAGCAAATTCCTCAATCACAAACTATATAGACCACCCCCTTCATCTTCATCTTCATCAAACTCAACTATTGCTTGAACCCCTGCAATGGCTATCCCCACGATATCCTCTAAAATTCTTCTCATTGTTTTCTCCTTTTCTCTCCTCCAACTTTCATCTTTCGCCCGAATTATTCTTTTTTTTTTTTTTTTTGGGTAAATATTCGCCCGAGATTATTCAATCGTAGGCTATTCTCCTCAAGACTTGACCTCCATGGCCAAACTCATTGAGCTCTTTGAGTCCTGGATGGCCAAACATGGAAAAATTTATCACACCGTCGAAGAGAAACTGCACAGATTTGATATCTTCAAGGATAATCTCAACCACATCGATGAGACCAACAAAAGGGTCACCAATTACTGGCTCGGACTCAACCATTTTGCTGACTTGACCCACGAAGAATTGACGAAAATGTATCTGGGTTTGAAGCCTGAGTTGGCCGGACGGCGTGGATCCTCTGATAGCCGGTAATTCACTTACGGGGATGTAGTTGATTTGCCCAGGTCGGTTGATTGGAGAAAGAAAGGAGGGGTTACTCGTGTGAAGAACCAGGGGTCTTGCGGGAGTTGTTGGGCGTTTTCAACGGTGGCTGCTGTGGAGGGGATAGACCAGATTGTCACCGGAAACTTGACGGAGCTGTCGGAGCAGGAGCTTATCGACTGTGACACCACATACAACAACGGGTGCAATGGAGGTCTAATGGATTATGCATTTTCTTTCGTAACCTTGAATTTGTCTATTGTGCAATCAACTTTCAGTTTTTTTTTTAAAATTCATTTGCAACTTATAGGTTTGCAACCTGCTGGGAGATCCACTAAAATCCATATGTTATTTCCCATTATAGAATTCATTTCCTCATCTATGGCTTCCTTCCAAAAAGCTTAATCTTGTGGCTTAATTGCTTCTTCAAATGTCACAGGATTAGCTTCTATATTATAACAAAATCTTGTTCCTTCAATAAGAAACATTTAAAATTTTGGACCATATGTTCTTGCTTTTCTAGCTCTTTTGCTTCTTCTAACTTCAATGTTTTCTTTCAACTTGTTTTCTTGCAAGTTGTCTTCTATTCTTTGTTCTGAACTTTCAGCAATTGTTTCTTAGGTCTAGGAATTGAATTAAATCTGCTCTCTTCAAAGATAACATCTCTTGACTCAATTATAGTATTGATATTAATTGAATCATTTGGTTCAATGACCATAAACCGATATGCCTTACTATTTTCTGCATACCCCAAAAATATACATTCAATTCCTCTTTCACCTAGCTTTTCCCGTTTGGGTTCAAGTACCCTTACAATTGCTCTACAACCCCAAACTCTTAAATAGTTAAGGTTTGGTTTTCTTTTCTTCCAAAGTTCATATGGGATAACTTGGCCTTTTTTAGTAGGCACCCTATTCAATATATGGCATGTTGTTAGCAATGCTTCATCCCCAAAAACTGGACTTAAACTAGAATTTGACAACATGGCATTCACCATTTCAGTTAAAACTCTATTCTTACGTTCTACCACACCATTTTGTTGTGGTGTGTATGGGGCTATTATCTCATGGATAATTCCAATGGATTCAAAGTAAGATGGATCATAATATTCTCCACCTCTATTAGTTCTTAGACATTTGATAAATGTCTCACTTTGCAATTCCACTGCTGCTCTATAAACTTTGAATTTTTTTTTCATTGCTTCATCTTTTGTATTTAACAAGTAAACATAACAGAATTTTAAATAATCATCAATAAAAGTAACATAATATTTCTTGCCACCAATAGTAGGAGTACCATGCATGTCACAAACATCACTATGCACAAGATCAAGCAATTTAGAAACTCTTTCAATCTTAGGAAAAGGAATTCTAGTAATCTTAGAAAGCATACATGTCTTGCATTGCGATTCATTTTTAGGCAACGTAAGAATTAATTCTAATTTAGACATCTCATGCATCTTCTTGAAATTAACATGTCCTAATCTATGATGCCATAAATTAAATGAGGCAAGAATATAAGCAGAAACAACACCCTTATTATTAGTATTATTATTAATGTTCATCTTAAACATGCCCTCACAAGCATAGCCTTTTCCTACAAAAATCCCACCCTTAGACAGAATAAATTTATCTGCCTCAAATACAAGTTTAAAACCAAATTTGTTCAACAAACTTGTTGAATATACGGCACATAATGCACATTAGTGACAGTGAGAACTTTTCCAGAAGTGAACTCAAGGTCCACAGTTCCTTTGCCTTTCACTTGTACTGCTGCAGAATTTCCCACATACAGCACACTCCCTTCAAGTTCTGGTTTTAAAGTCTTGAATAGACTTTTGTCCTTGCAAACATGCTTTCTAGCACCAGAATCTATCCACCAAGCAATGTCATCTTCCATGAGATTAATTTCAGAAATCACAGCAATGAATTTTTCATGTGATAATGTTGGTGCATTCCTTTTCTTCTTGAGAAAATAACTCTCCCTTTTGAAGTGTCCAGTTTTTCTACAACGGAAACATGCACCCTTTTGCTTCTTAAATTTTTTATTTTGCTTGACAGAATACTCCTTCTTGAAAGGCTTTTTGGGCTAGATTGAAGTTCTTTCCTCCAATACATGGACATCCGAAACTTGCACTTTCAGCTCCTTTTCATTTTTTGCTCTATTTTGCTCTTCAAGTCTCAAAGAGTTAGCAAGATTTTCAAGAGAAATATCTTCCTTTTTATGTTTTAGTGTTCTCTTGAAATCTTTCCATGCATGAGGAAGTTTATCAATTATTGAAGACACAACTATGGACTCATCCATCTTCATATCATATTGCTTGAAACTATTCAGCAACTTTTCAATTTCTCTAAATTGTTCCATGACTGATTTGTTATCAATCATTTTATAATTATTCCATCTGGTCACCAAAAACTTCTTACTTGTTGCATCTTCATTCATATATCTTGCTTCTAACTTATCCCACAATTCTTTTGCAGTAGACTCATGAACATAGATATCAAAAAGGGAATCACACATACCATTTAAGATGCAGCCCCTGCAGACATAATCATCGTTCTCCCACTTTTTCCTTTTCCTTGTATCTTGCAAAGTTTCATTCTCATTTTCCTCTGGTCGAGCATCAGTGAGAACATAACTAATGTTGAGAGTTGTGAGAAAGATGTGCATCTTGCGTTGCCATTGAATAAAGTTGCCCCCATCAAAGCGATCTAACTTCTGGAAATTAGTAGCCATCTCACGCAAAGTTGTAGCCATAATTGCAAAACAGAAAATTAGCCTAAAGATTGTTGGAGAAATAGGGTAGAAAACCTGCAAATAGCTTCAAGGCATGCTGCGAATGCCACTTTCCTTTAGGCTAATTTCACCCCCACCAGATCTGGTATGCAAAAAGGGTAACCCGAAATACCCATAGGATACAATGAAGTGCCTTGTTGATCTTACCTTTGCACTAGCAAGATCAACCACTGAACCGTCCTTTGGAAAGCGACAAAACAATAGTTTTGTACAAGGATTTCTGTAGCAATCAAAGTGCAAAAAGGGGCTGTTTTATTTAGATAATAGTAGGGGTTTGTTTTTGGGTTCAAGAGACGAAGATGGGGAAGAAATAACTTCATATTTATAGGGGCAAGATGTTTGTTGGGAACAGACGCCCCTTTTCAATTTATTATCAATTTATTAACGGATAGTAACTGAGTTTTCATGAAATTTATCCTTTGGAAACTCTTCCAAAAGTCATTTGGTTTGATTTTAACTCCAACTCACGTGTTTCCTTACCTTCCAAAGTTATCCACTCTCTTCAGAAACTTATCAGAATTTTATCTCTTATTTCTGACGTAAATGATTTAAACCAGATAAATGTGGTTCGAATTAATATCGTAACTTTCTGGATTCTGGTTTTACGTAAATGGTTCAAATCATAATTATATGATTCGAACCAAAGTTACACTTTCTCAAATGCATTTTGTGCAATTGCTTCGAACCAACTTTTTGTGATTTGAACCCAAATCTTGGAAATATTATGAAAATTCTTCAACACATTTTTCCAAATTTCTCCCCCTCACTGAAATCAGGTGGACTAATCTCGGTAATGCTCGCTGCCCCGTTGCATGTTATGCCAGGCCAGCTGCAATGGTCTGCAACGTTGTTGGTGGAGGCATTCCACCACCCACTCTTCCTCAGAGCTTCTGCCTCAGGTGTTGGAACTGCCACAAATGTGCTGCCAGTGCCGGTGCCAGGAAGTTTACTTTCTTATTCTCCTCTACTCTCCCCTCAAATGAACTTTCAGGAAAGCTTTCCCCACTAATATCTTCTTTGGCTTAAAACAGGTTTGGCATATATTACCATAGATGATGGGACAGCTTAGACTTCATATCCATGGATGAAGAGGACACATCACAACCCAGGTGTTTAATTTTCTATTATTGGACAGAGTATTTTTTCCCAGGAAGTAACCACGAAATTGCCTAGATCACCTACAAAGAAGAATGAATTTCACCATTCCTAGACTAATTTTTTCTCTTAAATTACAAAGACTTGGAGATTGAATAGTTTTTTTTGTTTTTAGTTTTTATTTATTTATTTTATTTTTTGTTTTGATTTTGTCGTTGCAAGTTTTTTCCATGAAGAAAAATATCACCTTAAAAAAAAGGGAAGCATCCATACATATGGAATTGGTATGACCTGAGTGGAAATACTTGGATTGAATAAAGCTAACTGGTGACCCAATTGTATGAAGGAATCCATCACTCAAAAATTGTTGAGGTTAATACTCTCTGCGGTCTTTAAAAAATTTTTGAATTAATTTGACTTTTAGATACACTTTAAATTAATATTTTTATATATTAAACAGATGATTATTGAAAAAGTTCTCTCTATACATAATTTTTATCAAGTAGTTTCATTTAAATCAAATAATTTTTTAATTATCATGGATACTATAGAAAAATGTAGGAAGTACTTCTTGAGAAACAAGGTGTACACATTCATTTTATACGTCTTTTCTTTTGCTACTAAATCTCCTATTTACACCTTACATATTACTTTTTTATGGTTGACACTCTAAACTAATTTTTCTTCTTGTCAACATTTTTCATAATTTAAAATTTATAAAAAAAAACTCAAAAAGTAATAATCAAACCTTCCATTTACACCATGACTTTATTGATAATTTAAGATTTTTTTATAAATTTTAAATTATAAAAGATATTAATTGAGAAAAAATTAATTTAAGTTATTAATCATGAAAAGAAAAAATATCTAGAGAAAAATAAGGTGCTTTGGCCTTTCTTTTGCTGCCAAGGTGGGTTGTTACCCACTCCCTGGTAACACCATGAGACATGAGTTGTACGCAATGACAACTTTTCCAAGGGGACTATTTAGTGGAAATTTCTTTTGATTTCCCGCAATGACTTAAGCCTAGTGAATGGATGTATGCTTTTTTTAAGGGGACCATTTAGGGGAGTATTTCTTTTCATTAGTATAAACTTAAAAACAAAGTCTAAACCTTTCTACCCTTATAATTTAAACATTAAACAACACCCTAACCCTCATGTTTATCCAATTTCAAACATATTTTGAAGAAAAAAAATTTAAAAAAAATTACCTCTGTTTTTTGGGTAAATAAATCATAATTTCACTTGTTAAGTACCATGGATGATTTTGGACAGATAAGTGACATACTTTATGGCAGTAAAACCCCTTCCCCCAACACATAAAGACACAAAATCCTCAACTTAATCTGTTTCTAGGTTTCTTCTAGTTTGGATAATTATTCTCTGCAAGACAGGATGTATGGTGCTGCTGCAATGTTGTTGCAACAGATCCATGGTGTTCAGCTTTTATTCACTTTAAAAAAATCTACGCCTATACATTGCATGCAATTTTATTTTACATTCTTTCCCTGGTCCATCTGATAATTATGCTGGTAAGCCTAGATATTTTCCTTTTTAAGCAGAGGTGATTAATGGGCTCTCTGCACTGGTGATAAACATTGAAAAGGCTCTTTTGTAACATATACCATGTTTGAAAAAGTCAATGCCCTTTCTTTATTGCTTGTCTAACATCTTCTATGCTATCAATTGGTTGATTGAAGCAATTGGGGACAATAGTTTCCATGGTACAGCATGATGTAGTCTGGATTCTTTAAAAAAAAAACACAGCCAATTTCTTCTGCTGAGTGCCGAACTTCGTGTTGGTGCATTCATGTGTTTCAGTACAAAAAATTTGTTGCCCTGGTTGAGAAATATATACAAAACAAGGTGGTATTCAATTTCAACATATTAATACAGAAAAGAAAAGCATGAAATAGACAAATAGATTTATTTTTTCAACCAAAAAAAAAAAAAAGGGACAAGGAAACTCGATTGAATCTAATTTGAGGAAGAACCATGGAACTCATCTAGATGAAATGAAATTTCTGAATGAGGTTCTCTTTCATTTTCCATCCCCAAATCAGTATTTAGTTTTGCAAATTGTAATACAATTCCCGGTTGAGGTTCCCTTCCATTTTCCATCCCCAAATTGGAACTTACAAGTTCCAACAAAGAAATAGTTGAAATAGGCTTCAAAAGCTGTTTTTGGCAGGCAACAAATTGTTGAGACACATATTTCATTGTTGGTCTGGA